AAAAAAAAAAAACTCATATTTACCATTATCCAAATTTCTCCATTTTCTGACGCTATCTTTCTAAAACAAATTTTTATCTATAAAGAATTTAAAAGCATAGGACATTCATCGTGTGTTTTTTTCTCGATGCAGAATATTCAAAGGAATCACCGACACGATTCATCGATAAAAACGCGATGAAAGATCGCGTAGCAGCCGAATTAAAAATAACAAGGTTTACCTACAAATTACCATATTTTCTTTGATATTTATCGTCGCAAGAAACTTGAACACGATAAAGTTCAAGGAAAGCAAGAAAAAAAAAAGAAAATAACCGGTGAAAAGATTGCGGTTCGACTGGTTCTATTAACCTTATTTCTATTCTATTCAGAAAGAGAAACTTTTCCATTGAATTAACGAAATTGATATTCTACGTGAAAAGAAATACAACTCACTTTGTCACTTTATCTGCAAAAGAGAATGATGCACGAGTTTAACGAAATTTTCTGTTTCAGGAAAAGGGGAACGGATATTAACAAAAAAAACCACAATTTCTCAAAATTACCGCTTCTATTTAAAAAACAAAAGTACACTTTCCAACTTTTTTCATTTAAGTATAAAAAAAAAAGAACGGCGATTTTCTTCAAAATATCTTAATAATTTTCTAAAAGAATTCGTTCGTTTCTCTCAGAATTACAATGATAGAAACGTATTGTTCTCGAGGTGCTTTTTAAGGGAAAAAGAAAAAAAGAAAATGAGTAAAAAGAAACGCGCGTTTCGTCGATTAAATGAAACGACCGGGGAGACGATGGTCGATAAACTTATATTAACGTAAGTACAAAACCAGTAAAACTTGTACGAAAGAGTGGGTGAGTGAGTGAGTGAGTGCGTGCGTGTGTGAATGTGTGTATACAGTTAATAAGCGCAAGCACAGCGCGTAATTTTCGACGAGACCGATAGTAACGGGTCGCAGGATGTATCGTAAATTGTCTGCGATAGTTACATTGGTCTTAACGTCGTATCTGCCCGAATACCGATTGAATATTACGGATAACGAGCCGATATCGAAATAGGAACGATAATTTTTCCTCGAACGGTAATTATCGGTCGAATCATTCGGCTGAAAATAAATTCGCGCTTGCCCAACGCTCGATGGTGGTTCAGACCGATAAACTCTATCAAGTTTATCGTAAGAAAAGTAAGGGTAATTAAGTATCGCCCGTTCCCTAGAATCGTGAATCGTCACGCTGGAAACCGCGCTCGTGAAACCGGATTTCCTCTGCTCCTCCGGAATCGATATTCAGAGAACTTTTGTCTTCGATGGAGTGGTTTAAGTAGTCTGACGAAACCTAATTATACCGTAATTACCGTTTTAATCTTTGATTCGAAGGATAGGATTTCTTGATTTCTTCGAATGATAATGATTTCTCGCGATGGCGGTTGAAGAAATTTTCATACGAAATCCTTGGAACGAAGAAGAGATCGATGTTTAATCGAACGAAAGAAAATGAAATGAAAATGCAATTTCTTGATTGTGGGTTTAAGGATAATGGTTAACCAACCACCCTTAATGGCAAACACCATCGATGCGAAAATCAATAACGAAAGGCAATTTTAAGCTGGAATATGATTGGTGTCAAGCAAGTTCGAGCCACTTCAATAAAGAAGGTATTTTATCCCGGTCGTAAAAAACAATGAGAAATCAAGGACTCGGTAAAGTGGCACGATAATATCACATCGGCGAGGAACAGAGGAGAACCAGTTTATCGTATCCTAGTATAGCTTAGCTAAGTATCGACTTACGTGCTAATAAGGCCTGTGGTGTAGGTAATCGGAATAACTCATCGATTATCATTGTGATAGCGCTCGTTGAACCACGGGTAATGATCGTTTTTGGTGGGGGTTATTGCAGTTGTCTACGAGTTTGCCGATCTCTCTTTGACAAAATAAAATCTACGATTACTCGTAAAAATTGCACCGGTATCATCTTTGTCCGATACTGGCTTAACGTTACATTAAAACGAACTTAACGCTAAAACTAAAAATACGAAAATATGAAACTAAATACGCTTTATTTTCTCTCTTGATTCTCTTTCTTTAATTTTATCTACCTTCGTTCTTGATTTCGAATCATGTGTAAGAAGCTGGTAAGGCATACGCGAGCTTCTTCGCGCCAAAAATTGATCGATCGAACCATACGCCGGAAGGAGGTTCGCGTGTCGACGATTATGATCTATCAGCGTCGTGTTTTGGGTAACGATAGTTCGGAAAATTAGGTTTTTCAGTCTTTATCACGTGTCCGTTAAATTGACGTGAAGAAAAGCAAAGAAACGGTTAATAAACAAAGAAAAAACATAGTCTAATTCATAGATCGTTGATCGATTATTTAATTATATCGATATATTTAAACGGACGAAAGAAATCTTGTAGATTATTCTACGATCGTATGCGCGTGCGGCAAGAAATATATTTCTATTTGGAAAATAAAAGTTACGTTCGATAACGAGGTCCGTGTCGTTCTCTTTTCGATAATCGGAATCGAGATCATTTCTATGATCCGATTTCGTATCATCGTCGAACAAAGATCACAGACGTTGTTCCACGAACGATCTTTTGATCGATCACGAAAAGAAAATATTCCTGGTCGCAACTGAATTCTCCTGTTCGTCAAGAATGCACCTGTGAACGTAGAATCGTCTAGTGTGTCGAAAGTAAGCACAGTCAAGGAAGTTCAAATCTTAAGCAACGCGTTGTACAAGAAAATCAATTTCCCGGTGTCGGTTGTGTACATCAACTTGTATCGCCTGCTAGTCATCTTATCGATCAGGCTTTTCGTCTCTGTTTCGCTATGGTGAGGACTCCAACGGATAGACACCACGGATATCCTGGTCGTCTCCCAAGGAATCGTATCCAAGACCTATACCAAACACGATCACGGTGAAAGGAAAATATTTAAAATAGAATATTTGGAATAGACTTATCTTTGGAAGAGAAAATTTTTCGAGCATGTTAACGACATATGTCGTATCGTGTAAAGATCAAAGGAAAGACTTTCTTAAAGAACAAAAGGACAAAATATAGGATATATATTGGAGATAGAATTTCATATAATTTCCAGTGAAATCGATAGTTACCTGGCCGTCTTGCGCATCCGGACTATCCAAACTCAGGTAATCCAAAGTGGTGGCACTATAGGCCAATAGAACGCTGTACAAAGGAAAGCATTTCAATCTCGTGGTCGGTAAGCCCTCGTCCGACGACACAAGACTGTTCGGACCCTCGCCCAATTTAGTAACTTGAACTTCGGATTCCTGGTGATAAGTAATCTGAAATTCGAACGGGTCCACAGAGATGTGAAAGTCTCGTTAAAGTGCGGTAACAGATAATTAAAAAGGATAGATTGATGGGGTAAGAAACATATATCTCTATTTTATATTTACCTCTTTGGTATCCTTATCGGTGCTGAGGCAAGCATGAAGAACTCTGGTCTTTGGGTTTCTGGTGCTTCTATGCGCCTCGAAGAAGCTTCTAGGATCTGTCAGGATCAGGACGCCTCTCCAACTTAAGTTACGTTCCAACCAGCCCGTACTAGAGATGGCACCTATCTATAAAATCCAATAATTCGTGTATATATTTTTAAGTAAAATATATATATTTTTTTTTATGTTGAACTCGTCGCGTGAAAAGATCTCGATTTCCTACGACTTCCGTGTAATTTGAGTAATACGAGTTTCATCCAGTCGACGATCACTAATTAAACTTTCATTTCAACGAGTGAAGTTCTATTGTAATGCCATTTAGTCCATTTAATCCCAGTTATTTATTATTTAATCAGTATAAAGAGATCGCATCGAGATTATTTGATCGAAATAATGTCTCGTTCGTTTATCTCACTTTACGTTCGTCGATTAAAACGCTTTATCTCGCGAGGAAGCAAATGGATGTTTACTATTTCTCCAAAGTTAACTCAATTTTAAAAACGAATTAATTCTCGATGCTTCAACACTCGAATATAGATATGAAAAAGTCTCTTCTTACCCTGCTTATGTACTCCACGTACACACCCTCGCGTTTTCCCTCGGTCAGACCCGCCACGTACCTCTCCTCCGTTGTTTGAGTGGCGTTGGACGGGTCCTGTTGCGTGGTGGGTTTCAATTGAACCTCTCTGATATACGCGACCAATTCCGGATTGTCCATCGAGACGCTGTTCAACACGTAATCTCTGGTCATATTGGCGTCGAACGCCTGCCTCCTGCAATGAAACGTTCGATTTTATGTACACCAATAGCCTAGATTCTTCATTAAATCCAACATGCATGGTAGTGAGCTGTATCTCGTTTAAACCGTACAGAAGATAAAATGGTCGTTGATGGATATTCGAATACCTCTCTGAATCTCTCTGTATCTGTATCAATTTATCGTGCATAGTAAATGAAACGGATATTCGAAAATTCAAATGTCTGCATACGTATTATTATTATGGTAATTAATGTGATGCATCGCTAAATAAAGTTTGATCCGAAATTTAAGATTTTACGAGACAAATTTGAATTACATTTTATCGTTAAATAATTAAACAATAAATTTGTGGAAGATGCATCGATAATTTCAAGAAAGAACTTTTTGAGATTGCTGAGAAAGTATAACTTTATAATTTACGCATATTTGAGATTGACATTTCAATAAATGAATTAATCGAGTTTCGACATTAATAATGATTTCGTTAGAAGCTCGTAAACGCTCTTTCTTTGACAGAGCTTTATTGAACAGCCTTTGTCACGAGCGACCGAGGGAAAGGATAATCGTCGAGTGACCTAATAATTAACTTCGTTTAACAATCGCATTTCTTCAATGTGGCTAAGGCTAAATGGAACGATCTTTGTGGATCTCGAAAGATAAGAGGACAGTTATTTGACATATCTCAAGTGTTATTAATTATTCCAGATGTATCAAATATATTTGCATACTTTTGTATTTAGACTATTTTATCATTTAAGTGATAAATATTTCTTACAATGTAAAATCTACATTCAGTATTTTTTTTTTTATTGCCTGCAAGATAAATCACGTCGTAAAAAATGCAAACAGGATTCAAATTATCCAAATATCTCATCAATCAACGTTAATAACAATTCACACAATTCTTATCAATTGAGCGGATTATCCATATTTTACCACGGATCCCGGCTAACTGCGATCAAATATTTAACTCGATAAGATCAGAAACGAGCTCGAAAATCTAAACAATTATACGTAAAAATAGTGAAATGATTGAGCTGCGCATAATCAATTGAAATCGGCGATATCGTTCGCAATTTGTCGTCCATTTTTTTTTCTCCTGATTGCCGTAAATTAACGCGTCGATTGTCATAATTTTCAAAGCCGTGAGCGAACGTTGAACGGATGATAAAAGGAGAAGAAAGGGTAATAAAAAGCGACGAGATCCGTTTAATTATTTAATCCCTCGCGATATTGTGCACGTTCTCTGCTAAATTAATGGAAGGGATAATGGAGAGAAAAGAAAAATAAAAAGTGCATAGATATATAGATGGATACAACGACAGCTTTAGGGGCTTCTTCCAAGTCTTTTATTTTACGATGCTGTAAAATTGTTACGTAGCGCGTTTGATTGCACATATCCGTATAAAATAGGGGATAAAAAAATCGAAGGATATAAAAGAAACTTGAACCACATCTTGAATATGAATTTATAAAGCATAAAATTTTACCTCGATAAAAGAAAATCGAGAACTAAATTTTGAGGATGGATGGATCTTGATCTTTAATATTCGTTGGATGTGTAATGACGAATAAAACAAAGATATTTATAGAAGATAAATAAGGATTTTAATAGAGCGATTTTACGGCGAAAAAAAATTTACCTCAAGGCCGCAGCCTCGCTCCAGACGAGGAGCAAGGCCATGGCAGTGGAAAACGCGGCAAGGAACGCCAAGCAGGGGGCCACTCTTCTCCACCAGCTTTTCTTATAATTCGCCATTGTGGTCCCTGACAGCGTCGAGCCCGCGGGTGGCTGTAAGACCCCGGTGACTGGGGGCATCCCGGTGGGGGCCATTCTGCAATCATAAAACCGTCTCCCATTAAACATTCGTTATTATACCACGCGGGAAGAAATTTTAAAGACCATTTAAAAATAACTGATTTCACATACATTGCTGAATTTTATTTCTAATTAAAAGAAGGTATGTTTATGTCGAAGGAAGCGAATGAAACGAAAAAGATATCTCGATATGTCGAATGATCCGTGATAATTCAATAACAATGTAGACTATTGATGAATGATAATATCTATTTTTATAGTATCTATTTTTTCTTCGAATTCTATATAAATTTATCGTGGAACAATTGTGATATTGATTTTTTAAGAAGTTGACCTTTTAAAGTGCCATTTGATAAGGGAATAAATCAAGCAAGTCTACCGCCATTTACGATACTATTTACTTTATCCTTTTCTATATTTTTTATGAAGTCTTTCAAACTTGAACAAATAATTATTATATTAAAATAATCATAAAGTTGTAAAATATAGAAATATAGAAAATAGAAATACAGGAAGAAAAAAAGGATACTGATAAAGAGGGTGAAAAGGAGAGGGAACCTTTTAATGAACTTTCTCGATACGAACTATTGATCTTGGGTTAAGTATTTAGAGGAACCAGCTGCAATGATTCGATTTTCCTCTACGTTAGTCCGCATCGTGATACGATCGTTGCGTGCGCAAGGTTTCCTTGCAGTTTGATTTAAACACCACGTTTAAATTTATCAGAGAATTTACCTCTGCATACATATTTCGTAGCGCTGTTGCAATTTGAAAAGAAGCTCGATCGCGAGAGAAGACAAAGATTGATCTTGCAGAAAAAATCAATTAATTCTTGAAGAATTAACCATTATATATCTTATTAAATGATATAACGTAACAAAATATGATAAAATATAATGTTGATACTTACGATAAGAAAAAATTCAACGAAACTAAAGTTTATTAAAATTCTATTCACCCGTAAAGTAAATTCAAAGAAAATTCACCCTTTAAGTGGAATATATCTACATTTCATGTATACTTCCTGTACCTCGCCCTTTATCCATTCCGTATACATAGCGATGAACGTCGCTGCTTGGCATTTCACGCGATGCATCGTGCTTCGAATGGTTATTATAACGAAGCCTCCAACCCCGATATCGCTGCAAGACGTATCCAGTCAACACACACAGTCGTAAGTACAATACGAATTGTTCCGCCGCATAATGCGAACCATAATCGATGCGCTGTTTAAGCGACTTGTAGTCCCATGACCAATATGGCCGAGGAACAGAAAGGAATAATCCTGGATAGAAAATATTTCACGGAAGTGAAATCAGTTTTTCGATCGAGATTTCGTAGCGATCCGGTTTATGATGTCATCCATTACGCTCGCGCGGTGAATAGCTAAACTTTCACACGATACCATAATGCAACTGCATCTGAGTAGCTGATGCAACTCTAGTATCTCAGTCCTGATACAACGGCTGGCCCCGTTCCCGATCGATCCAGGTGATATCGCGGTATAACATCGTTATGACTTTGATGTATCGCGCGATGGATCCATTGTAATTTCGTTGTAATAACAAGAAAATGGTAATCAATTGACACACGTTCTGTAGAAAAGATGGCCGACTTAGCGTGCACCAGGCGTGGATTTATAGGGGCAATTTGATTTACGACGAGGACAATCGGGAACGAGAAACAGAAAGAAAGGAAAGCAACAGTACGCTTGGTTATTAAAATATTTTTCATTCCCTTCGTGCTATTTCTTTACCCGTTACATTTTTTCATATATAATACATTACACAGCTCGTTTACTCCTTTCAGACTCTTTTCAGACTCTTTTCGTATTCTATATATTTTCTTTTTCTTTTCTCTTTTCTCTTTCCTCTTTTTTTTTTTTTTTCGTCATTTTCCAAGAACAAGTGGAAACATTTGCAAGGGAACGACGGTTTCTTGAAGCAAACCTCGTTACGTGAAAGAATGTTACACGCGGAAACAATGTTACATCGTGCTGCAAAATAAAAGAAACTAATGAGGAATAGTAAAATGTAAATAGCTTCAAATGTTTTCTATTCTTTGAATGAACTTGAAAGTCATGGTAAGCAGTATTATTCGAGAAAAACAGGAAATGAATTTTTAAATTCGTTACATTAAATAACAGCATAAAACGATGAAACTCTTGAATATATGAAGAGCAATATACCACGTGAAACAACTAGATATTTCACATTTAAACAATTGCAAAGTAAGACACGAAACACGAGTAGCTAAGCATTTTTTAAGCGGAATTTACAACGAATTTTTAACTAGTCCATCTACGTGAAAATATTCATACAAACAAGATATTCCACGAGAAGTTTGACATAAATTCTAGCTCAATAAGAAACTTCATTCGTACTTCGTCTCAGTCTAATTTCCATAAGGTAGCCAAGATGAAAGAGAACAATTTTGTACGTTAAACGCCTCTTAAATTGACCGACCCAATTGTTGGCGATACTCAAATGCCTGGCTTCAATTTCCACCAATTTCAATTTAAAAGATCTTCTTCGTCTTTACTCCACTTCTCGATCTTGTTTTCAATCGTTCAATTGTTTTCACGACGCAAAAATTTAACTTACCGAGAAGAAGGTTCAAGGATTTAGGACTATGACAAAGAATTTGTGCAACAATATATCCAAAAAGGGGAAACGAGCCACGAAATAACAAATCGCATTGAAAGTGTTTTTTTCAACGGAAGCTTTATGCCTAGTTTTCAACGATGCGATTGTTACCCGAGCTCAGGATTGGTAAAGTATGTAAGTACGTGGAATCGAGTCTGTTTGAATATCGTTAGTGACCTCCATTGTCGTTGATTGTAGTTGATCCAATGTTTATGAAACTGAACCTGCTTTGCCATGATAATCGTGTCGTGAAAAAAAAAAAATGAAGATATTCTTTGGAAGCATAATATCGGTTGGAAAATGACGAATTGAAATAAAACAATTCTATAGAAGTTCAATAATGAAAGATGGTCTTCATCGGAAAGATGCTTTTTATTAGAACAATATATTATTGTTTTCTTCCTTAATTAAATATCTACAGGTATCCGAGTATACGCGAAAAGGTTGGTAAATTTATTAAAAACAATTCACTCTAACAAATGTATATATGTGTTCAATTGTTGTTACAAGCGTGAAATTTGATCACAAATAACATTCTGATACCGCAAAATGCATATACCGCAATGTTCCGCTTACAATTTTATTAAAATTCATGCCCAATTGATACTCGACTTAATTGTAAACGGTACCTTTCAATTATGCAATTTTGCGATATCTGTAAATATTTTCCAACCAACAACAAGTTTAAATTGTTTTACACATAGTCTATTTTATCTTCATCATGGCGTGATCTTCTCAAGTGACTGAACGATGAAGAGATAAAAAAAAAATGAAAAGATAAATCCAGTATCGGAAATTTTTACTTTGTTTCGAGTCACGTCGTGATAACGTATATATATAAAAACAAATGCAAAATCGATCCGATAGTAAAAATTCTGTTCAGATATCTCTTAAAGAAAATCTAGAAAAAATTTATTTTTCGATCTAAAAAAAAAGAAACAATTCGTTCAGACGTGAAACAGGTTTTATTCAATATCGAAACAATTCATCAGGATACCAAATAACGATCATTATTTTCCCCATTTTCTTTTTTTGTTTGCACAGTTTGTTCCTGATTGACTCTTTCATATCACATCTCGCGGCAAACGGTAAAATGGAATTCTGGCCGAATTCCCCAATTTCAATCAATCGTGCACGAAGACAAGACACGTGTCGCCAGACACATTTAGAAATTTTATCATTGAAGAAAAAAAGCAAATTTCTTATAAGTTTCCTCGTTTATTTATAAACTAATCTCTATTTCAACGTATTTCAAAACAAATTGTATCTACAACGACAAAAACAAATTAGAAAATCATCCAGTGACACTTCTTACATGAAACGAAACGAAATTCGTGAAAGATCAAGATCACGAGGAAGAAAAAGATTTGGCGCCATTTCTTGAATTTCGTTGATACGTAGGAATTAATCATCGTTAGAAAGAGATCATTTATAAATATATATATATAAATCATGATGGGACAAAGGTATGCAAATACACATAACTTTCAAATCACGAAGCATAACAGAGGATTGAATTCGTTCACTTAGGAAAAGTCAGCAGGTAGTAAACAAAACAAAACTCCGCAGAGTTCGTATCCATGTCAGTGAAAACGCGGCTTTCTACAATACTACTCTTCGCTTCGAATCCCTGTAGCGAGCGTATATGCAAAGTCGAAAACAACGATCTTCACGCAAGTTTGTCCGGGAATTTGAACGTCGACATCGAAGCGCAGATACAATGTGATATATCGAGCGGGAACAAAGTAGATCAAAAGCGGAATGACGCAGAGACAGGAGGCGAACAAATTTCTCGAACTCCCAGAAATTCCCTCGAGCGTTTGTGTTAAAATACGTACTTGGCTTTCACGGGCTCCATGCCGGTCCAGAATAATTCGGCAGGCGAATAGGAAGGTTCAACGGCGTACAACATTCACGTGGCTCGTCTCGCATCCCGTCCGTGACGCGACCGTCGCCTGGAAGACATCGACCAGGCAGCTTCACCAGGCCGACCTCCTGCACATCCTCTCTGCCGACGTCTTCACGCTGCAATCCAACTGTATTTTCCTTTGTATACAGCTCGTTTCTTTTAACGATCGACGATAAAAACAGCGTTAAAAAATGGAACGAGCGTGTCTGCCTATTCGTTTGTGCGTGGAAACTCTTTGTGTTTATAATCAGCTGGATACTCTCTCTACCGGGCGCGAGCAAAAAACGTTGGTCGGCTTCTCTTTCTTTCCTTTCTTTCGCAAGCCGATTCACAAAACCGTGAGATTCCTTTGTTGACGTTTCGAACGCGTCGTTTCACTTGTTCACCAACCGAATTCGCGTAGGGTTTGCGAAGAAAACTGACGACACGTCTGCTGCTTATTGTTTCGATCAGAGTCGAAGTCGCGTCGCTAGAAACCGGCCCTTACGAACGTTCCCCTCGATCCTCCTTCCACGGAACTAGAAAAGAGAGACTAGCCGCGCGAGCGTGAACGATCGGCAACCGTATCGACGAACGTCCGGCGTCGATCGAGTGGCGGCTCGGAGGCGTCGAGGTCGAAGGAGTCGCGGAAACGAAGAGAACGACGTTCGAAAGCGTGGAGGAGAGCACGGAGATCCGGTAAATAGATTTTCTGGACGGAGGAGCGTGCGTATACGCGAAAGTTGATTAGAAC